GTTCAAAGTTTTCAATTTTTTGCTCTTCCTCTTCTCCTGGAACCCCTGTGATTCAGATGTTGGAGTGTTTAAAGATGTCCTGGAGGTTCCTTAGCTTCTCCTCATTTTTTTGAATTCTTGTTTCTCCATTCTGTTCTGGTTGAATGTTTCTTTCTTCCTTCTGGTCCACACCATTGATTTGAGTCCCTGTTTCCTTCCCTTCACTGTTGGTTCCCTGTACATTTTTCTTGATTTCACTTTGCATAGCCTTCACTGCTTCCTCTATTTTGTGACTATACTCAACCAGTTCTGACAGCATTCTGATTACCAGTGTTTTGAACTGTGTATCTGATAGGTTGGCCATCTCTTCATCACTTAGTTGTATTTTTTCTGGAGCTTTGATCTGTTCTTTCATTTGGGTCATATATTTTTTTTTGTCTTGATGTGCCTATTATGTATGAGGGGCAGAGCCTTAGGTGTTTACCAGGACGGGAACCTGGTTGCTGGGTTATGATGCCATATGTGGGGGAGAACTCTGAGAGGGAACAATGACACTTGCTCTGCTCTCTGCTGGAAATCCACTTCCTCCGCTACCCACAAGCAAATTGGGCCCTTCTGGTTCTGATTCCCGTGTGGGTGGGTTTGTGTAGGTTCTAGGACCCTGGGGGTCTCTCCAGTGAACTCTCCTGTGAGGCTGGGAGTCTCTCCCAACACCTCAACCCCCACAGCTGTTTTTGATTGGTGTTTTGAGGCTTTATTTCCCTGCACTGGGACCCTGAGTTGTGTGGTCTGTCTCGCTCCCCAGTTTCACCTGGTTTATCTGCATGAGAATATGGGACCACCCGGTTCACCAGCTGCCTTGCGCCAGCACCTCTCCACATCTACTGCCTGCTGGGTCCACCAGCTGCTGCCTTGCGTGCCCTGGGTCTGCCGGCCAACACTTTCTTTTTTAATTTTCCAAGATTTTATTTATCTTTAGAGGGGAAAGAGAGAGGAAGAGAAACATGTATGGTTGCCTTTCATGCGTCCCCTGCTGGGAACTGGCCTGCAGGGAACCGGCCTGCAACCCAGGCATGTGCCCTGCCTGGGAATCGAACTGTGATCCTCTGGGTCACAGGCCTCTGCTCCATCCACTGAGCTACACCAGCCAGGGCAACACTTTTTTTTTTTGCTGCAACCCCTCTCAACCAGGCCACCTGGCTCCGCCCCTCCTATTAGTCTGCATGAACATTCATATGTGTCTATTTTAACTCTTTGGTTGTCGGAATGCCATACAGTTCAATTTTCTGTTGGTACTGGGTTTTTTTGTTTCTAAATTGTTGTTGCTCTTATTTTGGTTACGCGAGGAGGCACAGTATGTCTACCTATGCCTCCATCTTCGCAGGAAGGCCTAGCTTGCAGGGTCTTGATTGTCTTCAGCTCATAATAATTCACATGCCAAAGTGGCACATTTTGGGAAGGCCTATTCTGAACCCCTACCGCAGCAGTAAGTATTTCATATGATTGTCTTTTCTGATTTGGAAAGTAAAAATGTTACCTCATATTCCATTTTTTAAAAATTGTATTTATTTTTAGAAGGAAAGGGAGGGAGAAGGAGAGGGAGAGAAACATTGATGTGTGAGAGAGATATCTATTGGTTGCCTCTTGCACGCCCCCAATGCGGGACCTGGCCCACAACCTAGGCATGTGCCCTGACCCAGAACCGAATCGGTCACCCTTGGATTTGCAGGATGGCACTCAACCCACTGAGCTACACCAGTTTGAGCTCAGAGTCCTTTGATTAGTGGGGATGGCCAGCACTTTTTCATGTATTTCCTTAGCTATTTGTTTTTGTTCTGTAAATTTATCTGTTTAGGTTTTTAGGTTTTTTGAAATTGGGGTTTTAATTTTTTCATAGTTATATGAGTTCTTGTTTTAATCTTTTCTCTTATTTGTGCCCAAGTTTCTTTCTTTTTTTTTAAAGACTTATTTTGTAGATTAAGGTTCACAGCAAAATTGAGCAGAAATGGCAGAGTTCCCAAAAACTCTGTGCCCTAAACATGCACAACTTCCCCACTGTTGACATCACAGAGGTACATTTATCACAGTTGGTGAACCTACATTTTGACACATTGTTATCACCCAAAGTCCATAGTTTGCATTAGGATTCACTCTTGGTATACATTCTTTGGGTTTAGACAGATGTATAATGACATTGTATCATATACAGAATAATTTGCCCTTCAAATCCTCTGTGTTCCACATATTCATTCTTCCTCCTCCCTAACTCTTCAGCCACTGATCTTTTTACTGTCTCCATAGTTTTGCCTTCTCAAGAGTATTATACAAGAGTATATGTAGCTTTTTCAGTTTGGTTTCTTTCACTTAGTTAAATGCATTTAAGATTTCTCCGTATCTCTTCATGGCTTGATAGCTCTTCTTTTTAAGCTCTCAGTAATATTTCATTGTCTGGATGTCCCACAGTTTATTTATCCAATCATGTACTGAAGGACATCTTGGTTGCTTCCAAATTTGACGATTATGAATAAAGCTGGTATGTACATCTGTGTCCGTGTTTTTGTGTGGACATAATTTTTCAGCTCTCTTGAGTAAATGGAGTAAATGGCAAGGATCACAGTTACTGGATCATATGTTAAGAGTATGTTTAGTTTTATAGGAAATTACCAAACTGTCTTCCAAGTGGTCTATACCACTGTGCATTTCCACTAGCAATGAATGAGAATTCCTGTTGTTTCATATCCTCACCAGGATTTGTCGTTGTTGGTGTTTTGGATTATGGCCATTCTGATAGGTGTGTAGTGGTATCTCATTGTTCTAATTTGCAATTCCTTGAGATAACATATGTTGTTGAACAACTTTAAGTAGGTTTTTTTTAATATTTTATTTATTTATTTTTAGAGAGGGAAAGGGGAGGAGAAAGAAAGGGAGAGACACATCAATGTGTGGTTGCTTCTTACACACCCCAAACTGGGGACCTGGCCTATAACCCAGGTATGTGCCCTGACTGGGAATCGAACCAGCGACCCTTTGTTTCACAGGCCCATGCTCAATCCACTGAGCTATACCAGCCGGGGCTGAACAACTTTTTATATGCATACTTGCCATCAGTATTCCTTTATTCTTCCTTCCTTCATTTTTTTTTATTTTAGAGAAACAGGAAGGGAGAGAGAGAAACATCAGTGTGAGAGAGAAATATTGATTGGTTGGCTTCTATATATGGGTGCTAACTGGGGGGCCAAACCTGCATCGTAGGCATGTGCCCTGACAGGAAATTGAACCAGTGACTTTTCAGTTTACAAGACTCTGCCCAACTAATGGATCCATACCAGCCATGGCTTCTTTGATGAGGTGTCTTTTCAGGCCTTTGGACCATTTTAAAATCAGGTTGATAGTTTTCTTATTGTTAAGTTTTAAGAGTTTTTTTGTATATTTTGGAAAACAATCCTTTAGCAGCTGTGTCTTTTGCCAGATATTTTCTCCCCATCTGTGTCTTCTCATTCTTGTGTCCTTGTCTTTTGCAGAGCAGAAGTTTTAAAATTTAATGAAGTTCTGCTTACTGATTATTTCTCTCATGGATCATGTCCTTGGTGTTGTATCTACAAAATCATCACCAGACCCAAGATCATCTAGATGACCTAGGTGTTAGTGCTCCAACTTTGTTCTTCTTCAACATTGAGTCGGCTATTCTCAGTCTTTTGCCTCTCTATTATAAACTTTAGGATAAGCTTTTCAGTATCTACAAAATAACTTGGTAGAATTTTGATTGATATTGCATTGGATCTATACACTAGAGTGGGAAGAACTGACATCTTGACACACTGAGTCTTCCTATCCATGAGCATTATTTAGAATTGATTTCTTTTATATTTAAAAGCTTTTGTTTTTTTCTATTTTTAGGGATTTCACTTGTAATGTTTGTGATTTCTTACATTGCCTTTATATTTTTCCTTCCTCGTCTTGAGCTCACATAAATATTTATTTCCTTTTAAAAATGTACTTTCAGCATTTAATTCTTCAACTCAACTGGATTTTATTTTGGTATATGGAATGAGGTAATGATCTAATCCCCTTTCCCAAAATAATGTATTTTTTCCAAAATCATTTTCTGTTTATCAAGAATAGGCACATGTACATATACAGTAATCAGCTTTCCAATCTGTTTTCTAATTCTGTGGAGGAAATTGTATCCTTTCCCAGTTTTGGATTATGGTCAGATTGGAAGAATTGGGAATATGGTCAAATGTTGTATGGCTGCACCTTGGGAAGGCCATCTGCTGAACCCATTTCCTGTTAGGCATGGTTGTTGGGTATATATGAGCCACCTGCATGTCCCCACTCTTCCTCAGGAGAAGCATGTCCTGCTTCCTGTGGAGAGTTACTACCACATTGAATTACCTCTGCTGTGAGGCCCAAGAAGATAGGACGTGTGAGTGTATTGCTCCGCAGTTGCTTCCCTAGTACCTGGCTCAGTGTAGGATCCAGAAATCTAATGGATGAATGAGCCACTGTTAGTGGTAGAAATGTGCTATGGCCCTTTAATATGGTTTGAGGTAGAATAAAAGTTGAGGACAGCTATGTGATATCTGCTCTGAAGGGTAGTACATTCATACAGCCACCTTATCTTCTCCATGCTCCTCATTCTGAAAATGCTAAAGCTGCACATAGCAATCACCTGGAGAATTTTTAAAAGGACAGCTACGTAGATGTCATCTCTAGAGGTGCAATCTGGCATGGTTTTTTTTTAAAGTTCTTTGGGTGATTCTAACAGTGCAGCCAAGGTTGAGAATCACTGCTCAAAAAAGTTTGTTCTTATTAAGTGTTATTTTTATTTATTTGAAGATTCAATTGAGTAGTTGGATTCCTGAGGAAATGTACATATCAGCGTCCAAAAAAAAATCATTTGTCCTGTGCGCACATTTCAGTAGCTGGAGAGATTTTGCCCCAAATACTTGTTTGATGAGTAGTTTGCACATAGTTACAATAATATAGAGTCTTATCTAACACAGCTCTCTATTTTCCAGGTCAGCATGGATTCCTGGATCATTCTTGTTCTGCTTGGCAGTAGTCTGATACATGTCAGTGCCGACAACACAACCACAGGTAAATTGTCATTTAATAAGGCTGGTGTTCAGAGTAGAATTTTGCCTTTACATTTAATGACTCTCAATTGAAGACTTAGGTGATATTTAAGAAGGAAAAAATATTAATGTCTTACTTAAAAGTGATGGGAAAATGTCTTTGGAAATCTCTGAGTCACAGTGAATGCTCATCATTGTGGTATATGCCATACTATGTACTATGACATATACCATATACATACTAGTTTAAGTAAACAAAAAGACCACGTATTCTTTTGGAGTTGGTAGAAAGGATCCAGTACCAGATTAAGTGTGTGTGTGTGTGTGTGTGTGTGTGTGTGTGTGTGTGTATCCTGTGTGGGTGTGTGCACCCATTTGTTCATTCTTTGTTTGATTTCCAGGTGTTTGAGAGCTTACTAAGACTTGCTACTTTGTGCCTCAGAGCTTTTAAGCTATCAAATTATGTGATATTTCTTTATTTTCTTGGTGTTTGTAGTTTCACCTACAAGATCTGTTGAAGCATCAGTAGCAGAGTCAGTAAAAGAAGAGACCAAAGCTTCAAATCCTCCTCCTTCAGTAACATTTTCTGTGACACCAACATTCAGCCCAAATCTAACTCTGGGATCTACCTATGTACCCACTGTCAATTCTTCAGATTCCGAGAATGGGACCACAAGAATAGCAAGTACCAATTTTGTAGTTACTACAGTTTCACCAAATGGAACGTGGCTTCCAGATAACCAGTTCACAGATGCCAGAACAGAGCCTTGGGAGGGGAATTCCAGCACTGCAGCAACCACTCCAGAAACCTTCACTCCTTCAGGTACTAGAGATGGTTTCTATTTGTTCTTTCTTTTGTTCTTTGAGCTTATTCACCTTTATTTTTGTTTACGTTTCCTACCCATAAAATTTCTTGAAGTAAGTAAAATTTCCCAAATCAAGTAATGAAATCTAAATATAGGGAATTCTCAGGACTATCTGGTTAATATAGGGTTAAGAAGAAAGAAGAAAGATTCTGAAGAATATCCTGCTTTACATGGGTTCCTCGTTAGATTGGAGAGGTTTAATCATGTTTAAAGGTAGAGGCGAAGGTTGATGAAAATGTAAGAGAAAGAAGGGATTTAATTGATGATGCAAAAGACTGAAGATGCACCCTGGGTGGTGTGGCTCAGTGGATTGAGTGCCGGCCTGCAAACCAAAGGGTTGCTGGTTCCATTCCCAGTCAGGGCACATGCTGGGGTTATAGGCCAGGTCTCCAGTAGGGGGCGTTCGAGAGGCAACCATACATTGATGTCTCTCCCTCTTTTTCTCCCTTCTCCTCTCTAAAACATAAATAAAATCTTAAAAAGAGAGAGAGAGATTGAAGATGCAAGTATGCAGAAACCGGGTAATAGCATTATTCCTGAAAATAAAAGGATCTTTGGAGACCATGGGAACGAAAATGGGTCTGGATGTCCAAAATAATTAGATGTGGAGTGGGAGACCTCTGTCTAGGAGTGAGGTTAGAGGGGCCCTTGGGGGAAACAGTTGAGTTGCACTGGGAGTTTGTTCAGGGCTTCAGCCCAGCTCAAGTGAAGCATATCAGCAGAGAGTTTCAGAAAAAGAAATATAAATGATCTTTCCAAATATGAAAAGATGCTCAACCTTACTCAGTAAAATGCAAATTAAAGCTATACTGAACTGCTGATTTTCACCTGACAGATTTAAGTTTGATATTTTACTGCACTGAAGAGAGCAGAAAAACAGGCCCTCTGATATCACTGCTTATGGTACCGTATTTCCCAGTAGAGAGAAATCGGTCAATATCCGTTAGTTTACAGATGCACCCTTAAAATAATTTATCCTACCCATATTGCCATATATGCTTGAAACGAGAACTTGTATTCTTTGTAAGAGTACTCTGAAAACAACCTTAATGTATACTGATAGGGAAGACTGGATATAATGAAGCAGTTCTTTACTATAATATAGAACAAGTACAGGGTCTGGCACAAATAATGCATCTTTTTTATTGAAAAATCATAAGCATGTAATTCTGTAACATCATACTCAGGCACACCATATGATATTTTAGGTAAAATGTTCAAATTAAAACTATAAATTATTACACCCATTTTATTACCCTACCAACCACTGTCAAGAAGGCCTTACTTCTGCCAGACCCTTTATAATAGGCTAACTGAAAAAAAGCAATGTGAAGAAATGTACACAATATATTTATTATTTTGTTATAAATGGAAGAAAAATATATAATTGCATACTTGCTTATTTTTAGAAGGAGAAAAACAAAAACTCAAAGCAAAGTTTAATAGGAAAGAAAAAGAAGATTAAAGGATTAATTTGGGATATGTCTCATATTCAAATAATAGAAGTTTTGGAAGATGTGAATACAGAAATTGGAAGAGAAAAATAGAAAACTAAACAAAGAAAAATATAAGGCAATTATTAAACCCAGAAAAAAATAGTACGAGAAAAGGAAAATAAGCACATTATGCCTGTACCTTAGCAGGCAATAATATTTTATAGTCATAATAACATAAGACATTAAATATTGATTTAACCAAAAATTATGATGTAATAATTATGGAAGGATTGGTAAAATGGTGGTGATGAGTAAAATGTGTGGTTTCAGACTATGACATCCCGACGTACAATAAATGTTTACTTGTGTTTTACTGATCTTAAATAGAAGTCAGCAGTGAAATGCAGCTGCGGTCTTCTTGGAGACATGAAATGTGTGAATTGTATTAGAATATTATGCTTTTCTGACTCATTTAAAGAAGGCTTTTAATGTTAGGAAAATGAGCCCTTTGCCTACTTGTGATAAAGCTGCAAATATTTCTTCTCAGTTGGGCATCTAGCTTTTCTGCATTGCAGAAACTATCATTAGCAATTTCTAAATTTTTTAATTAAAAAAATTATCAGTTTTCAGCTAAATGCTTTCTAAGTATTAGATCGTATCTAATAAGGCTTTTCTGACTCTAGTATTATCAAATATATTTCCTTATATTTTCTTCTAGATTTCTATTTTTTTATGTGTGTTTCATCTGCATGTGTTTGCATGTATGTGCTGAAATCTTGGATCCATGTGGAATGTATTCTCATGTAAAGTGTGAACTGTGCATCTGTTTTTCCTAAATGTTTAACTGCTTATCCCAGTAGTACCCTTTAATGAACAATATATTTTTACCTCACTCATTCCAATGCTACCTCTCATATATTGAATTCTGATATGTATTTGGGTTCCCATATGTATTTTCTCTTAATCTTTTTCTCTGTCCATGTACAAAATCCCACTGTTGAAATAATTGTAACTTTGTAAAATAATTAACATCTGATGAGGTGAGTCATCCATTATTAATTTTATTTTTCAGAATTTGGCTAGCAATTCTCGATTATTTTTCTTTGTGAACATTAAATCAACTTGTACGGCAGGAATAAAGGTTTTTATTGATCATGTGAAATAGATTAACAGGGCAATAGGCATCTTTAAGTCTTTCTATCCAAGAATGCAGGGTAGTCTATTTGCTGGCCTTATTTCATATTACTTGGAAGTGTTCAAAGTTTTTGCTACTGACGTTGCACATGTTTTGTTTCTAATATTTTGAGGGTTTTTTTGATTTCTTATGTTTTTTTCTTTGCTAGTATAAATGGAGTACTTTCTTGCATTGTTTAAAAAGCTAATTATTTTTATTGAGCTATAATTGATATATAACATTGTTTTAGTTTTAGGTATATTTAGGCTATTGATTTTTTAAAATAAGTTTTATTGATTAAGCTATTACCATTGTCCCATTTTTATCCCCTTTAATCCCTTCTACCCTGCACCCCATCTTCCACTAGCATTCCTAAACCTTAGTTCATGTCCATGGGCCGTACATATAAGTTCATTGGCTTCTCCATTTGCTATACTATTCTTAACCTCCCCCTGCCTATTTTGTACCTACCCTTTCTGCTTCTTATTCCCTGTACTTTTCCCCCCATTCTTTCTCCTCCCCCACACCACTAATAACCCTTCATGTGATCTCCATTTCTGTGATTCTGTTACTGTTCTAGTTGCTTGCTTAATTTCTTTTTGTTTTTGTTGGGTTTTTTTTTAGGTTCAGTTGTTGATAGTTGTATGTTTGTTTTCATTTCACTGTTCATGTTTTTGATCTACTTCTTAGATAAGTTCCTTTAACATATCATATAATAAGGGCTTGGTGATGATGAACTTCTTCAGCTTGACCTTATCTGGGAAGCACTTGATCTGCCATTCCTTTCTAAGTGATAGCTTTGCTGGATAGGGTAATCTTGGATGTAGGTCCTTGTCTTTCATGACTTGGAGTACTTCTTTCCATCCCCTTCTTGCCTATGAGGTCTCAATTGAGAAATCAACTGACAGTCTTATGGACACTCCTTTGTAGGGAACCGTCTCCTTTTCTCTTGCTGCTTCTAAGATCCTCTCCTTATCTTTCATCTTGGGTTATGTAATTATGATGTGCCTTGGTGTGTACTTCCTTGGGTCCAACTTCTTTGGGATTCTCTGAGCTTGCTGGACTTCCTGGAAGGCTATTTCCTTGGTCAGATTGGGGAAGTTCTCCTTCATTATTTTTTCAAATAAATTTTCTATTTCTTGCTCTTGCTCTTCTCCTGCTGGCACCCCTGTGATTCAGATGTTGGAATGTTTAAAGTCCTGGAGGTTTCTTAGCCTCTCCTCATTTTTTGAATTCTTGTTTCTCCATTCTATTCTGGTTGAATGTTTCTTTCTTCCTTCTGGTCCAAATAGTTGATTTGAGTCCTGGTTTCCTTCCTGTCACTGTTGGTTCCCTGTACATTTTCTTTGATTTCACTTAGCATAGCCTTCATTTTTTCATATTCAACCAGATCTGAGCACATCCTGATTACCAGTGTTTTGAACTCTGCATCTGATAGATTGGCTATCTCTTCATCGCTTGGTTGTATTTTTTCTGGAACTTTGATCTGTTCTTTCATTTAGGCCATTTTTTTGTCTGGTGCAGCTGTTACATAGTAAGGGGTGGAGCCTTAGGTGGTCACCAGGGCAGGTCAATCATGTCACTGCGTTGTGACCCTATATGTGGAGGAGGGGTCCAAGAGGGAACAGTGCCATCTGACTTCACACTCTGCCATTTTTCGGTCACTTCCTCCACTACCTGCAATCAAATTTGGTCCTTCTGGTGCTGATTTCTGTTTGGATGGCCTTCTGTACGTTCTAGGACCCTGTTGATCTCTCCAGTGAACTCTTCTGTGAGCCTGGGAGTTTCTCCTGCTACCACCTCAACCCCCACAGGTGTTCTCAGTCAGAGGCTTTGACACTTTATTTCCCCGAGCTGGAACCCTGGGTTGTGCTGTCTGTCTTGCTCCCCAGTTACTCCTCCCGGATTCTCTGCACTCAAATGTGGGACTACCCAGTCTGCCAATTGCCATCTTGCTCGTCCCCATCCTCCAGCCGCTGCCTTGCCACGTAAGTCCTCTCTGCCAGGCTGCTTGTCTACGCCCCTCCTATCAGTCTGGATGAATGTTTCTTCTTTAAGTCCTTGGTTGTTGGACTTCTATACAGTTTGATTTTCTGTTGGTTCTGGTTATTTTTTGTTTTTAAATTTGTTGTGTCCTTCTTTTTGTTGTGTGAGGAGGCTTAGCGTGTCTGCCTATGCCTCCATCTTGGCTAGAAGTCCTAGACTTGCTAGACTATTGATTTATATAGGCACTTTTTATACTGGTCATCTTAATAAATTTCTTAGCATTTGAGATAATTTTCTTCAGTTATCATAAGTCTTTAAATCATCTCATCTGCAGATATCTATGCCTAATTTTTAGATCTCTTTTTCTCTTGTGTTTAAATGAAATGACAAATATCCTCAGTACAAAGTTAGGAAACAAAAGCAGACAGCCTTGTCTTGTACCTGCCTCTGTAAGGGATATTCTCAGTCGTTTTCCATTAAACAGGGTACTGACTCTTGAGTTGAGATAAACATATTTATTATGTTTAGGATTTGTCACTTATTTCTGTTTTAAGAATGGGTGTTAAATTTTGCTAGTTGCCTGTTTAGCATCAGTGAGCAAGATCTATATGATTTTTTCTTTTTATCATATGCCATGATGAATCATGTTAATAGAGTTACTATTTTTGAGTTGTTTACATTCCTGCAAAAACATGGTTGTGTTGTATTCTTTAATGAACTGTTAGAATTTGTTTGATAATTTTATTTGGGATTTTTCCATTGAGAGTCATAAGTTATTTCTAAATGAATTTGGTCTGTGTGTTTCCTTTGTATTTGTGCTATATTTCAGTAAATTTTAGTTGTCACTACTTTATTTTTGCTTCATGAAAGAGTTGGGTTTACCTAGAAAAACTATGTGTTTCATTCATGTTTTCAAAGTTACTTGAATAGATTTGAGAAAAAGTCATCTCTGAGGATTAATTTCTTACATAGCTATGAATATTTATCTTATGTATTTAAGGGGTTTTTTTGTTTGTTTAGGTTGGCTAGCCATTTATCCGTTTCATTGCTTTTTTTTCCTCCAAAGAACCTGCTATTGTATATTTATTACTTTGGTCTTTTTCACTTTTTATTTTACTGATTTCATTTTTATTCTTATTATTTTTCTTACATTTATTTTGTGCTTTTTCTGTCTTCCTGAATTGAAGGCTTAATTTGTTTGTTTTTATTTTTCCCAGTTAATTAATATATTTAATGCTATGAATTACTTGTAAGCAGAGCTTTAGCCATATCCTGTGAGTGTTCCTGTAAGTACTTGTATTAGTTAGGATGCAGTCTAAGCTACACTGACAAAGACACACTAAAATTCAGTGACTAAAATTAAGACAAAAGTTTAATTAATTAATTAAATTTAAATTCTTTCTCTCCCCTATCCACATTTTAGAGGTAGACAGGGGACTTTGTCTCATCTACAGCCAAGTTCCTGATTTCTTGTGGCTCTATCATTCCAGCAAAATTTTTCTCATCTGTTTGGTTAAAGGTGTCTCTCATCATTGGGTGTTGGCTTTAGCCCCTGGGAAGGGTGAACAGAGGCAGCGGGGACTATTTATTTATTTATTTTTACAAGGGATGTAACCAGAAGTTGCCTTCATCACTTTTGCTCACATCCCATTGGCTTGAATTCTTCATGTGACTCCTACACAACACAAAGGAGTCTCAGCTATGTAGTTTCTAGCTAGACTAGCTTGCTCTTGCTAAAAAAACAAAGCATGTTCTGTACCAAAGACAAGAGAAGGAGGAGACTGCTACTGGAGAGAATTGGTGGATTTTGTCACAAGACTGATTTTATTTTTTAGGTGTTTTGCAGTTTGCTTTTGCTTTTAATTTTCATGTGTTTCTTTGTTAAATCTAGTTTTACTGTATTATCATAAAAGAATAGTGTCTGTATTATTTCTACTGCATGGAATTTATAAGGGCTTATGGGTATTCCATAAGCCTTTGAAAAGGTTTTTTCCTTTTACTATATAGAATTTGGTCTATACCAATTAGATTTTATTGCCTGTTATCATTTAGGTCTTTCATATCCTTAATTATGTGCTATTGCATCTTAATGACCTAAAAGACATAAGGACCTCTGATACCATTATTTGTATTCCTCTTTATATTCTTGTACTTTTTATGAATATTGATGCTGCATTGTTTTTATACTCACAGGGAAGGACAAACCACTGATTAAAGTTTAGTGAATCTGGGCAGTCTTGTTCCCCAGTTGAGGGTGCCTCATTCTAGCTCCAATATATACAAAGATTAAAGTATCTGTGTTCCTAGAGTTTATTTTGTCTTAGTTTTGATTGATAGTAATGTTTTTCTTTAATTTGAGTGAATGTTTCTATTTTTCACTTGTTAATACAGGTAATTCTGACTCCAAGGAGAAAAGAGGTGAGCCACTCACCTTATGCCTGACCTTTTACAGTGTATAATATGTCATCTTTCCTTTGCTCACCGTCTGTAGTAACCTTGTGCATCTGTGACTGTTATATGTGTACTTTTCCTTAACTTGTTTTCATATTAACCTCGTAGAAAAGAGTAACAGAAGCAAGTACTCATTATGTATTTAAATGTAGATTATAGACTCTAATAGCTATGATGCATTTTAACAAGTAATAAAACAACTATCTTTCTCATGTCACCTTATTAATCTTTGGTGACATTAGGCTGTAATTTATACTCCACAGTTAATTACTAACTTCTAGGCCATAGTTACCTTTAAACAACCTCTGCCTTTGTGTTATTTTACCCTACTGAATAAAATATTGACCTTTTGTCACTTTATATAAATTTTATGGATTCTCAGCCCTTTAGTGTAAAGCTGCTATGACTGGAGATGCTGTGTCAGTGGTCTAAGCAATACTACCAAATCCCTGATCACCAGAGAACAAAGGATGGGGGTTCACATCTGTAGAAGCGGCACATTTTGCCTAGGACAACAGTAAAGCTGCAAAGAGCATAAGAGAAAGAAAAATCATCTAACAGTCTAAGAAATGAAAATTGCATTTGAGTTTAGAAAATGTTAGTCTGTGAAACAGTCTTTCTCATCATGATTTCCTATTTTTATCAGATGAGACTTTTGAGGTATTTTTTTTCTGATTTCGTTATTTAACCATGCATATTTTTTCCTGCATAATTAAGTAATGGAACATTTGAAGGCTTATGAAGTCCCTTTAAGTAGGGAGCATGTGAATCAGAAAAGTAGACCCTGGCTGGTGTAACTTAGTGGATTGAGCGCGGGCCCATGAACCAAAGGATCACAGTTCAATTCCCAGTCAGGGCACATGCCTGGGTGGCAGGCCAGTTCCCAGCAGGGGATGCACTAGAGGCAACTATACATTGATATTTCTCTCCCTCTTTCCTTCCCTTCCCTTCTAAAGATAAATAAATAAAATCTTAAAGAAAGAAAGAAAAGTAGTTGCTCTAGCCCTTTATGTGTTGTCCATCTGCCACCGTATTTGGTGTGGAATAATAAGGTGTCACCATACTGTGTACGGAGTTCCCTTAATTTTCAAGCTCTCCCTCCCTAAATTTAGGAACTAGATTGGATTAAATGCAATATCCTGGCTATTCTTGCTCTCTTACCAGGTTCTGACTACTAAATCTAGAAGTTTATAAATTTATGTTGGAGCAGATACTTATATTTTCTCCCTAAAACTGCTCTTTTAGTCAATCTTACAATAAAGTCAAAAGACAACGTGGTAGGCTTCAAGATTAAACATAAGATCTGTGATTCCTTCTGCTTAGTGTTTATTTTCTCAATATTCAGCCTTTCTCTTGTCCCAGATATATCTCTATTTTACCTAGGTAACTAATATGGATTTGAGTAGTTTCAATATTGTGATTAAGAAGAAATAAAATTACACTAACTATAAAGATTATTGCTGTGACATACTGATATAATAAATTTCCTTGTAAATTAAAAAAATAATTTTGTATTATTACCTTTGACCAAACAGGAAAATGAAGAGATGTACATATTCTCATAAGTTGCTAAAGCCCCATATGTAATGACGATTTTACTAGAGCAGATCTTACCGTATTGCTGTAAAAACTTTTTTTATTAAACAAACTTTCTTTTCTTTTCTAAATTAGAAAAATGTTTTTTAAATTTTTAGGGAGAGAAAGAGAAACATCAGTGTGTGAGAAAAGCATTAACAGGTTGCCTGTCTCACAAGCCCCAACTGGGGACAACTGTTGGCTTATGTGTGAGCCCTGAAAGGGAATTGACCTTTTGCTCCATGGGACAGTGCTCAGCCAACCTAGACTAGCCTGGGTCAGGGCAGTACTGCTGTGCATTTTGATGTCACATTCAGCATTTAAAGACAAATGCTTTTTGAGAAATTAGGCAATTGTTTTGAAATATTTGCACTATAATGGGTTTGCTGAGCAAATTGTTTTTATGTGGATTCACTTAAGTTTTTATGTACTGGCCTTCATTATGCTTTTGAACAGCAGTGGCTGGGGAAGGGAGGGAGAGCGCGCGCCACAGAAACATCCATGTGAGAGAGAAACATCTAAGATCAGTTGCCTCTCCTATGCACCCCGACCTCACCCCAACAGGAGGAACCTGCAACCTAGGCATGTGCCCTGACTGGGAATTGAACCTGCGACCTTTTGGTTTATGGGAGGGTGCTCCAATGCACTGAGCCACACTGGCCAAGGTATGACTGGTGTTTCAGTTGTCAAAGCAGAAAGGAAAAAAAAGAGGAAGGGAGACAGGCAACTTTTCTTCCTTTCTTTTGAAGTCCAAGAACTGATATTTTCTTGTGTGTATTTTTTTAAATGTATTCCAAATTACTTTGGAATATATTTTGAATTCATTGATAAAACTAGCTTTTGTTCTAATTGTGATTAAAATATATAAAATAAAATTTGCCATTTTAACTGTACAGGTCAGTGTCATTCATGTTGTTGTGCAACCACCGCCAACCATTCATCTCCAGAATTTTTTTGTCATCCCAGACTGCAGCTCTGTGACCCATTTAACACTTACCCCGTTTCTCCTTCCCTTAGTCCCTGATAACCACCATTCTGCTTTCTGTCTTTATGGATTTCACTAATCCAGGTACCTAATTTAAGTGGAACATACAATATTTGTTTTTTTGTTACCCGTTCGTTCATTGTTGTTGTTTTTCCAAAGCGTTTTTACTGGTGTTACTTTGGATGATTTATGTAATATATAGTAATGCATAAGTTCACTTCTGGCATTATCTACCAAGTACCTCTTCACTATGAAGACAGTGGTCATGAGTATATTCTCTAGTTGTTATTTAGTCTTCGCATAGTTTTGCATCTCAATTTTATTAGTTTTGTTCTAGGGAAAACAAACTCTGAGACAGAGATTTGCATGCAGCAAGTTTATTGGGAAGTATTTTCTCACTATAGCACCTGTGAGGCAGTAAAGGTAGTATTATTGGGTAGAGAGAGGAAATGAGATGTCATACAGTCAGAGCAAAGGCAGCAAAGGCCTCAGCTGCTTCTACGGGAAGCTCTAGAGCTGGAATTGGGGGTAGGGGGAGCTTCTCCCCTGGGTCAGGCTACTCTCTTAGGTCAAGGGTAATTCCTAGGGAAGAACTTGGCTGAGAGCCATTAACTACTAATCCTCCCAGAAGCTGGGAGAATGGGTTCTTTAGTCCTCAAGGAGAATCTGTAACATCTACTACTATTCCCATGAAGTTTGAGCAAGATAGTAATGCATTGTCCCATTCATAAATAGAGATTTTCCCATCTAAGAAAATGCTATTGAATAATTTTAATAATATATATGCAGGCTGGGGAGTGAGTGGCATAGCGGAATATTTAGAGAGGCAGTGTGTGCAGTGGTTTAAAAGAGCATGGGCTTTGGAGCTAAACCACCTGGGTTTGTGTGTTCTTGACTCTACCAGTTACCAGCAGGGTGGGATGGGTGTTTAACTTCCCTGAGCCTTATTTAACCATTTGCAAAATAGGACAGGAACGGAATTTTCTTTATAGGGCTGTTGTGAGGAATGAAGTAACACAAAGTGCTTGGCCTAGTGCTAGGTTGGCACGTAGCAGTTGCTTAGCAAGTGTTTCTGTTACATTGCTACCTACTACCATCACCACTGTTACTATTACTATTAGATGGCAAACTAAGGAGATCAGGAATCTTAGCCATTCATTCAGAACTCACAGAAACAAGGATACTCCTAGGGTTCCTGGAGGCTAATATGCAAGGCAGCTTCCTAAGGCAAGGTCATCTAACAACCAACCATGCCAGCACAACTATAGACATTACCTAACATTCTGCCCCGCACATTTTAAACAAAACTCTCCACAACCAACTTTTTATTTTAATTGTTTTTTTATAATAGGATTTTTACATGAAGACTTTATAACTGATATTTGTTAGAGAGCAAGAACACTGTGGGGTGGAGAGGGGATGATAGGGGAAAATGAAGACAAGTATACTTGGACAACAAAAAAGAAGAGGAAAAAAGAACATTGGATAAAGCTGTTAACCATACTTGAAATTATTTTAGATGTACATTAAGTCCTTAGCACTACCAGTAGGTTCTGCTATGTATAACAAAACTGAGTTCCTAGACTATAGCATCAATGCTATGATGAAATGACATTGAATGAAACAGTGTTATTTATATCGAGGACCTGCTATAATCTTTTCTTTAACTTTTTTTCAAATCTGGAAATAGTTTCTCCTAATATTTGTGAAGGAGTCCCTGAGCTACAAAGTTCTAGAACTGGACAGGACAAACCCAGTTCTACTGAACTGGGATTCTGCAGAATCCCAGAGGCTCAAAGTTTCTCAGCTATCAGGTTAGATTACCTGCTCCCCCACCTTTTTCCTTCAGTACTTTGCTAGAGTTGCAGTCTAGAATGGGGTCAACATTCTTGGTTAAAGAGGTATTTTTGGATTATCATAGTAAGCGACATTATTATTGTGACCTCCATTTATGACAGCTTTCCCTAAAAACACCTTTAATAATGTATTCATTTAACACTTGTTAAATGCTGAGGATCCCAGAAAGAATAGTGTCTTATGAAAGAAACATGTGATCACCAAGAACCAAAAAGTCCACTCAGCTACATGCTATTGGATATAGCATTTAATAAAGTGCTATGAGAGAGCTTAAAAGACTTATTGCTGTACCTAGAGAGTGGGAACAAGGCACAGAGGTGAGCTTTGGGCAGTTTAAATTAATATGGTAACTGAAGAAAATGAGGATGCACCAAATAGGATAAAAGCAAGGAGACACAAAAGAGCAAATCATGTGTTTGCATGGTTTGTATGTAGGAACAGTGCACAGTTGGTATGCATGAGATGGGGAGTAGCCAGAGGTAGTCCCCCAGCAGAATGGGCCTGGTGGTACATTGAGCTCAGGAGCCAGGGCATCTCCTAATGATGGTAA